CAGCGTCCCTTGTGGCAGTGGGGAAGGAGACCCGAAAAAACCATTCGCAATTCGTGTATGGCGCCGGCCGAGCCAAATCGAGCCAACATTTAGTAGTTGCCGTTAAAAGTGAAAATCCCTGTTCATATTCAATCTCCCGGAGGGATGAAGCTATTTCTGGAAGTATCACAGAGCCGAGCCCTGGACCTCAAGATCATGAAAAACACTATTTACCACTATTTCGACAAAACGAATTTAATCTGGAAAAAATTTTCACGGGCCCGTGCGTTTTTACCACGCATACCCGAGAGTTGGGTTTGAGCTGAATGAAACTTAGGCGACGGAGCATATCCTCTTAAAATTACAGTCCTCTAGCTTATCAGATACCCGAGTTATGAAATTACCCGAAAAAAATTTTGGCGGGTCCGTACGCGGGTACCACGCCTAACCGAGGGCTGGGTTTGAGCTCACTAATACCCACTTGGACGGGGAACATCCTCCTAAGATTTCAGCTTTCTAGCCTGTCAGATCCCCGAGTTATGAACTATTTACCACTTCTTCGATAAAACGAATAAAGCTAAAAATTACCGATGCGCAGAGCGTGAAAACTTCACTCAAGTATGGCTGTAGTGTTTTTGGGATGCTGGTTGCAAGGTCGCTCAGGCATTGCAGAGGAACATCGTCGTCGTCTTCCGTAGCTACCACATGTTGACAAACCTGAAATAAAAAGGGGGGAATAGCATGAACAAAGCTGACCACCGGTGCGGTAAAATTCGTTGGGTGGCCGAAGAGGAGCAAAAAATACCTGGATGACAGCAGGGATTTGGTCGGAAAGGGACCTAATCACATGGGTGTCCTCTTCGTTATCGCACATAAATGCAACATAAGCGCGAACGGCTGCTGTTCGGACGGATCCTTCGCTAGCAAAGAGTAGCGATGAATGGAACATTTCTTTGATTCCAGCAAGATATTGGTCCTGATCACTTCCAAAGATTGATGGAACGTTCCTTAAAACAGCTAGCAATAATGATTCAATAATTGGCCAACGCACGGGCTGCCCGTGCGAAGATGCGTTTTTTGCATGGCTCCCCGCAGTTTTTTTGCTACCGGCACCGGTTTTTTCGGCAAATGCTTCTAGCTAAACAAATTAAGACTGGCCGCCAGAATTGTCAGGAAACATCCCCTTAAAATTTCAGCTTTCTAGCTTCCGTGGCCCCCCAAGATTTCAGCCTTCTAGCTTCTCAGATCCCCGAGTTATGAACTTACCCGATTGGCGGGCTCGTACGCGGGTACCATGCTTACCCGGGGGCTGGGTTTGAGCCCACTAATGCCCGGTTGGGCAGGGAACATTATCCCAAGAATTCAGCGTTCTAGCTTCTCAGATCCTCGAGTTATGAACTGACCCCAAACAAAGTTTGGAGGGCCCGTGCGCGGGAACCACGCCGGTTTTGGCTCCCATTTTGGGGATTGGGGGCGGTACGTGCATGTAGATTAAGTTCCCGAAATTTCAGCCCCGCAGC